TATAGCATAACCCTCGATCATGACGTACCTGCAGTTCTACTGGAATGAGTTTTTGAATGGGTGAAGTATTTTTCCTTGTGCCCCCTAACTCATGAGCAGCAATAGTGCGACTCCCTTAAGCCCAAATTGACTTGTGACGGTGATTGACCTTTTCTTCTTGTATTCATGCCAACCCAATGGCTATTGATAAAGAAGTGGGATTGACCATCTTGACATTGAGCCTTATGTCATCCTTAAGCCCACTCAAGAAACAACTGATCATGAAAAATTCAGCCTGTTTTTCTGTGTGATTGACAAGGATCTCAAATTGGCTTTACTACTCTTCCACCGTAGTATTTTGGCGGAGTTTAGTAAGAGGGTCTTTATACTTGGTTTGGCCAAACTGAGTTTCCAATGCTTTACCGAATGCATCTCAGCTGGACGATACTCCTAATTTTCCATCCATTTGTATCCAGAAAGTGTCTTCCCTTCCATATGGAATGAGGCAATCGTCAGTTGATGTTGGGGGAGAGTTTGATGGTAAGCAAAGAATTGTTCAGCCCGATGAAGCCACCTGGAGGGATCATCACCGTCAAACTTAGGATAGTCTTGACGGAGATCTCTTGTTTGGATTCCACTCATTGTATCTGATTGAGAGTGACCAGCTTGTCGATTAACAGATTTGCAATGAGAATTCTCTTCCATATCCCACTGTTGTGAGCGGCACAAAGAGTCAGATTTGCAAGGAATTGCAATTATTGGACCACCTCATCAAGGATTCTCTATGAGAATTCTTGTGCCTCCTTAAGTTGATTCATGGATTCAGAAAGTTGAGAAATTCGAGTTCCCTTAACCTTTGCAGGCTATCTGCTCTGACATCAACTGTGACAATTAAACGTGAAAAACAGGAAAATTAAAGTAAACTGGCCACTTTGAGGGTGCTAAACTAATAGAACTTTACTTCTTTAGTATCTTAATTAATTTTTTTTTTTAATTCATTGAAGAAGTTCTAGTTACTCAATAAATTTCCTTCTCTGTTTTTGTTTGTCCAACACATATTATACTATAAGTAATGCATATAAGGGATTTTGATACATCTGGAAAAAAGCAAATCTAAGATTAGGAATCTTTGATGAGCAGGATCAAGAATCATTATTATTATTATGTCGACACAAGAAAAGTTATTTTTCACACCCCTTTTTTCGTGTGTCGAAGACCAGAAAGACGAATAATCACTCCTAGAATTATTTGTTCGCCGCATTTATCTGTTTATTTCCCGCTCACTTATTCTACTATCTAGTCTAATTGAATTATATTAGCAANAGAGTCTATCAACACTACCACATTGTGCCCCTTCAAATTTTGTTTAATCCGCATGATCTGTGGAGCAAGTGCTCCGACTATAGCATGCATTGAAATTTCTGGGGTCTCCACAGTCGAGGATTCAAGTACAACTTCCTCTTTTTCTACTTTTTCTTCATTTGCTTCACATGTATCTTCAACTCTATCAGCTCCATCATGCAAGTATAGTTTCTTCTGACCATTTTTTTACTTCTTGTTGGGTGACCATTTTTCATCACAATTATAGCATAACCCTCGATCATGACGTACCTGCAGTTCTACTGGAATGAGTTTTTGAATGGGTGAAGTATTTTTCCTTGTGCCCCCTAACTCATGAGCAGCAATAGTGCGACTCCCTTAAGCCCAAATTGACTTGTGACGGTGATTGACCTTTTCTTCTTGTATTCATGCCAACCCAATGGCTATTGATAAAGAAGTGGGATTGACCATCTTGACATTGAGCCTTATGTCATCCTTAAGCCCACTCAAGAAACAACTGATCATGAAAAATTCAGCCTGTTTTTCTGTGTGATTGACAAGGATCTCAAATTGGCTTTACTACTCTTCCACCGTAGTATTTTGGCGGAGTTTAGTAAGAGGGTCTTTATACTTGGTTTGGCCAAACTGAGTTTCCAATGCTTTACCGAATGCATCTCAGCTGGACGATACTCCTAATTTTCCATCCATTTGTATCCAGAAAGTGTCTTCCCTTCCATATGGAATGAGGCAATCGTCAGTTGATGTTGGGGGAGAGTTTGATGGTAAGCAAAGAATTGTTCAGCCCGATGAAGCCACCTGGAGGGATCATCACCGTCAAACTTAGGATAGTCTTGACGGAGATCTCTTGTTTGGATTCCACTCATTGTATCTGATTGAGAGTGACCAGCTTGTCGATTAACAGATTTGCAATGAGAATTCTCTTCCATATCCCACTGTTGTGAGCGGCACAAAGAGTCAGATTTGCAAGGAATTGCAATTATTGGACCACCTCATCAAGGATTCTCTATGAGAATTCTTGTGCCTCCTTAAGTTGATTCATGGATTCAGAAAGTTGAGAAATTCGAGTTCCCTTAACCTTTGCAGGCTATCTGCTCTGACATCAACTGTGACAATTAAACGTGAAAAACAGGAAAATTAAAGTAAACTGGCCACTTTGAGGGTGCTAAACTAATAGAACTTTACTTCTTTAGTATCTTAATTAATTTTTTTTTTTAATTCATTGAAGAAGTTCTAGTTACTCAATAAATTTCCTTCTCTGTTTTTGTTTGTCCAACACATATTATACTATAAGTAATGCATATAAGGGATTTTGATACATCTGGAAAAAAGCAAATCTAAGATTAGGAATCTTTGATGAGCAGGATCAAGAATCATTATTATTATTATGTCGACACAAGAAAAGTTATTTTTCACACCCCTTTTTTCGTGTGTCGAAGACCAGAAAGACGAATAATCACTCCTAGAATTATTTGTTCGCCGCATTTATCTGTTTATTTCCCGCTCACTTATTCTACTATCTAGTCTAATTGAATTATATTAGCAAAAAAAACTATTGATGCTTTTTATGACATTTAAATCTGGCAATAATAACATAGTCACACCACCTCAATTCAGATAAAAAAACAACGGAAGAATGGGTAAAGTCAAATAGTAGTCTTCACAATCTACATACTATAACTAGGAATCCGGTACAAGGGCCAACCTCCAAAACTTTGGAATGAAAATTTACTTCTCTCTTGCTATTTTATTGACTGCGAATGTCTTTTTATACAAGACACTAGGCAACTGACTCCTACAAAGACTCCACAACTAAAGTTGCTGCTTACTACTCCTACTATGACTCCTTAATCCCCAATGCCGTGTATTGAAGTTTGACCCAATCAACTAAGATACCATAACCTGTAAATAGCTCAACCTCCTAACAGCTATCTGACCCAATTATAATAAAAATAAATAAACACTAGCACAGAGTTTGTGGACTGCACCACAACTAATTTATTGGGACACAAGATTAGATTCACCTAAATAGGCACATGACAGAATTTGAAAATAACAGTAAATGTTTGGTCTGGGTTTGGCCTACCTCTCCAAATAATGCAAGACCAACTCTAGGAGAAGTTTTTTTTGTATTGCTTTAGGATCCAAAAATTAGGGAAAGCGGCATGCAGTTTCTGTTTTCTTATTGTGGGCCATTGCATAATCCCTTTTTTTTGGCTATCCAATATGGATGTGAGGAAGAGCAGATCCCACGCCATTATGTGGGAGTGAGCCTTTGCGTGCCACCCTAAACCACCCTGGCTTAAGAATGTGACATTCAAAGAGAAAAGAAACCTGGAGTTTATCTCTACTATCATTCACAATTCACAATTTCATCTCCCAGGCCCATGGTCTCATGTCCTAGGCCCATGGTCCGAAATTTATCTTCTTTGACTGAAGTCTGTTGACCGATACCTAGATTTCTTATCCAAGTTGACAACTACCCTTTAATCTTTTGCCTTACTGGAAGCCTAGAAAATATTCTAAATGCCAACTATTAGACAATCATACTAAGTTTGCAACTTTCAGGATTTTGTTTGACTATCAATAGTAGTGTGCCAATTATTTTCCAATCAATAATTTGTTGTCAAAAGTTGGAAAGTTTGCACACCAACTTATTCTAGTTTATTGATTCATTTTTGACACATGAAGTCAACAATAAGATTCTTCTGTAAAAGGAGGTGTGATGTTACAGTTACATGATGAAATTGCTATCTTGAATGAAAATTAAGCTGTTTGGAACTGGTGTGATGTTATGTCTTTGAAGGAGTGATTCCTTCATCTTGTGTTGTGCAATGCCTACACCTTCTGGTGAGATGCCACAAGAACCATGACCAAGAGTTTTAATTCTTCTTATTCTAGGTGAGGTGTGATGCCTCATCTCCTGTTTCTACTCTGTAGTTCTTATTGCCAGCACATCCCTGTTTTGTTCTTTGACCCATCTCTCCCGAGCTCAAAGCCCTACAATGGCCTCTCATATTCGTGAAGAAGGCAGCTACATTCCTTCACCTTCATGTTGGTTCAACATCAACCTTAATCGCAAACCATCATAAAATGGTTTGGTATCAAAGCTGTTTTTTTATCAAAATAGTTTAGCCAACCCAAAGAGTGCGGTTTTGTCGAGTTGAGTACTGAAGCTCTCTTTGTAATGCATGATTTTGTATCTTAAGTTCAGGTTTTGCCAGGTTTGCTCATGGTTATGCGTGTTTTGCCACATGGAGGTTGCAACTGTGGCCGTTGTGCTTCTGACAATGGATTGGATAGACTGTATCTACTGACATGGAAAAGGAAGTAGAGTTGCAACTTGCAACTAATCATTTGGACATTCCAACTATTTAGATTGGCAATGGCCAAATGTTTTAATGTAATGCTTAGCAGGTTGAGACTACTCCCAGTCATTTTGCTCCCCTTTCCACTACTCTGTATCATGTGTACTTTACCGGTGTGAATAGTTAGTATGCAGTCTACCCATTTCCCTCTTCAGGGTGTTGGTTGATTCAGTTATTGCTATCCTGGCGTGGAGTCCTAGACACAGTGTGCTGTTGTATGAAGTTACAGCTTTTTTCATACTTCAATCTTTTAGTGTTTCTGAGACTCCCAATGTCTTGGGTTAGTGATTCTTTGTATTTTATTTTCTCTAAGTTATGGTGGATCTCTTTTCATACAGGGAGCATCGTGCTTCTAGAACTGCTCTATTTGATGGTTTTGATGTTGAGAAAGGTGGTCTTAGGGCCTCCTCTTCTTATTCTGGTGAGATTGATGAGCATGACAATGACAAAGATATGGATGGCTTGCAAGATAGAGTTATCTTTTTAAAGAGAGTGAGTTTTTTCAAAAATTATCTATGTATTATGACCATTTTACGGTCTTGTTATGAACTTGTCCTCTTGTTTCTTATTAGTATAAACCCACATTTTGAATACTGTAGGAGATCTTCTTGCTGTGATGCATCCAGAATCTCTATGAAGTTATTTATTATATGAATCAGATTGGTTCAATTTGTTTCCAATAAATTATATTTCATTTTTAATTGAATCTGATTTTGGGGGGATGAAATCATTTTGCTATTCTGCATGGTTTGTTGCAATGGTTATGATCTGATTTCTTACTAATCATCCAAGTCGCACATGACATTCAATAACATGGGAGACATGGCCTGTATTTGGGTTAACCTGTTGGAGAAAGCAACAAAAAGATATACTAATATACCTGGAAAGTTGGATTCGAAAATGCGGGATACACATGCAATGTTACCCATGCTTCACATCCCACTACTACTACTACTACGATGCAGAGATTACACTACCTCTATTGTTATGTTTTGAGAGAAAGGAGGTTGCTCTACATAAGTCTAATATATGTTGGAGATGATTGTGGCATTAATTTTGTAACTAACTGAATCTAGGATCTCTTTTCTAAAGAAACGCTGTGTGTACAATACTTATTTACTTCCTTTCAATAGTTAACTGGTGATATACACGAGGAAGTGGAGAGTCATAACCATATGCTGGACCGAACGGTACGTTGATTGCAGTTGAGAAAAATTGTGCTTGTTTTAAATTGTTGATTTGTGCTAGAATGCGTAACATTTCCAGGGAAACGATATGGATGCATCAAGGGGAATTATGTCAGGAACCATGGATCGTTTCAAGATGGTAATTAGTTAGATCAGTTTTTCTATGATATGCAGTTAGATGATTCTTATTTGTTTTATCTTCTGTTTGCCAAAGTCAGTATGATGACATTGTTAACTTATTAGGTGTTTGAGAAGAAATCAAGTCGGAGAATGTGCATACTTGTGGCATGTTTTGTGGCTTCTTTCTTTATCATATACTATTTTATTTGGTAAGAAGATCTCCTTCTGCTGTTTACATTTTCTCATGATACCAGTGCCAGGTGTTTAGTTAAAAAGACTGATTTGGCCTTAATGATTTGTAATTCTACTCTGTCTTCAATATTGGATTCAGATCTGTCTATCTGAGGCAGTTTACATGAAAGGAAAATACTTTTTGGATTTAATTTGCGGACTTTATTTCTCATAGCTATTGAATTGGTAGCGGGGTTAGCAAATCAGGTTCGAGTAGCATTGCTCTTACTCAAATGGAAAAAAAAGGAAAACGCAAACAAAAGAAGAGAAAGGGGAATGGGAGGATTTACTTGTTATAGTTAAACGAAGTCATTGCATTATTATCTTCCATATATGCAATCTAAAATTGTTTTACATGAATTTATAGTAATTACCCTGGAACAAGAATTTGGAGGATAAATTAGAACGTCTTACTAAACATAGAGTTCTTTTTTCCCACCTGAGTTACTCTCGGGCATTGCATAAGTGAGGACTTTACATGAACACACTGCTATGAGTAAGGTTATTAGATATGGTATGTGTTTGTCAATCAAGGCTTTGATGTTTGCTTCATACCATTTGCTTGTATAGTTAATAGAAAAGGTTCGAGTTTTAATCTGACTATGCATGACTTGAACAAATTTCATCTGATGTGAAAAAGAATTAACACGTTTTGCAAAATATTCGCAGAGTGAGAAAAGAAGCGCCAGGGGTGGGGGGATTAGATAGAAGAAGAAAAGAGAAAATGTATGTTGTTGATGCTGATTATTCTTTTCTTTGCAGGGTTCTCATACATTTCATGTATGGTTAAAGTGGAGTTGTGGAAATCATCTGCTTAAACTGTTAAACATACTCGCGCGATAACAAGACTACAAGCTTGTGTTAGATGGTGGGGTGGCATTTATTTAGTTCTGTAAGCGTCAGAAATGGTATACTAATACGTAGCACCATCAGACTAAGAAATGTTCTTTAAGGCTGGTTGGATGCAGTGAGATGTTTCAATTGTACATATATGATTAAACGGTTGTATATGTACACAAGAGAACAGGGTCTAGTCAATGTAAACGAAGACAGTCTTACCCTTATCTTGAGAGTTGATTTTTGGACTAAAAGCCGATGAAGAATTAGTGTTTTGCATTGCTAAGGAACTGATCTCTCTTTTCAATATGTACCGAACTTTATGGTATCTTTCTCTGCAAAATGTCAAGGGGTTTTACTTTGTATTTCCCTGCAAGTCAATGAAATATCCTTGAAGTCCTTTTACACTTCTTGGGTGGTATTTTCCCTTTTCTGGATGGTAGTTACTGCACGGGACTGTAGTTCGAGCGGTAATACGGACGAACTATAAATTCAGATATCTTGAGTTTAAATTTTGACAATTTTTTAAAATTAAATTATGATAGATTTATCTAATATGAATTTTTTAGTTTTTGCGTAAATAATTTATTTTTGATCAAATTGAAGAGGAGATTAATCGATATGCGCATAAATTTAGTTGAACATACTTGATTGTTAAACGGCAAAAAAAAAAAAGGGGGTCATGTTCATTTCTCTTTGTGGCACTGCAAATAGTTTTCTCTCCGTTCGAATCACGGCCTTGGTCGAGAGGTTAAGTGTCACCTGTAACGACCTGGACAATTGAGATTGATGAGGTTGAAATCTCATCTTTTTTTTTTTCTTTTTTTTTTTAGAGTGAGAGGGATGAATGAAATGCCTTATCCATCTCCTTTTGATGCAGAGTTTCTAATTTGTCTACATTTGATTTTTGATGGTGGGTTAGTGTAAAGTTTCATTCATGATGACTTAGAGAACCCAAGTAAGTCTCATGTTTGACTTTTTGGAGGCAAATGTAGCCTCCACGGGTAAATTTAACAAGTATTATTAATTACCATTTGTCCTGATTTTTCACATAAATGTTTCAATCGTGCCATATTCAAGGCACATCATTTTTATTCTTTATTTTTGAATGTTAGAGTTGTGTGTAAAAAATAAAAAAAAAACTACTTAATTTTAGACTAATTCAAACAATTAAAACAAAAAATAAAAAATTATTCATTTTCTTCTTACAATACAAGTTGAATGGGTAAAATTATGTTTAATGCTAACATAATTATTATATGGATAAATAGTTAAAATTGACGCTCCTACTTAAACTGTGTTATGATAATGAATTTGTTCTCCCCCAAGACAAGACAAATTTCATATAAATGGGAAATATTTTATAAGATGAATTATGCAACAATACACATTTATTTTTTGTTATTTTTGATATACAATAGTGAATTTTCATTGATGTGATATCACCGTTGTAATAAATATTTTTTTTGAAAAAAGGGCAGAATNTATTCATTTTCTTCTTACAATACAAGTTGAATGGGTAAAATTATGTTTAATGCTAACTTAATTATTATATGGATAAATAGTTAAAATTGACGCTCCTACTTAAACTGTGTTATGATAATGATTTTGCTCTCCCCCAAGACAAGACAAATTTCATATAAACGGGAAATATTTTATAAGATGAATTATGCAACAATACACATTTATTTTTTGTTATTTTTGATATACAATAGTGAATTGTCATTGACGTGGTATCACCGTTGTAATAAATATTTTTTTTGAAAAAAGGGCAGAACACCACCAAGAAAAAAGGACAAAAAAAAAATAATATAACCCGCAAAAAGAGCAACATAAAGGCTCATCCTCGTATAGTCTTGCCACATAAATGGTTGCCGCCTCCATTACACCATACCTCTTAAGTCAAGTCATTGGCGACCAATTCTCTGTCTCATACGATGACCAAATTACTTTGTACCTGAATCATGATCTCCTAGGTCTAAAGGTTATTATTATAAGCCTTGGTCTCTTCAATTCTATAATAACAAATAGCATTGTTAAAACAAACACACACACACACACACACACACACATATATATACTTTGAAGTGATTTAGAATAAAATTTTTATTTTATTGTGTACTAATAATTGTCCATATTTGAAGGCATGATGTTACTTGTAAATTAGTTATAAATATTTATTCATACATAAATATAAAATAAAATACAACTAGTAGTAAACGACGAACAAAATAAGTTTGCTAATATTTTTTCATAACATCAACCTACATACATAGCATATATTTTTACATTAAATTGTTACGCCACAAAAATTATGTTATAACTACCGAAATATAATAATTCAAACATCTGAAACAATATATCAGTTGACAATATTCAATTTTCTGTTTTTGATTCAAAATTCACGATTTTAACATTCATAATCAACTTTATCTAAATAATAACAGAATTCATAACTAATAGAATAAAAATTAAAACAATACTCTCACAAATAAACTAAGTCTATAGATGTTGTCAAATGACTAAATATAACTATCAGAAATTCAACCGACTTCCAAAAGATACGACCTGACTGTTGAATTTGTTTGATTCAAGTTTATAGTAGTTCTTTTAATTTTATATCATTCTTTTCAGTTATTTATATTGTTAATATATTTTCTTAAAATAAACGTTATTTAATATTGGATTATTTAGTAAAGATTGTTATTTCGTGCTGTTCACTAAATATTGAATTTGTATGATTCGTGTTCATAATATTGTTTATAAATTTGAACTTNTGTTCACTAAATATTGAATTTGTATGATTCGTGTTCATAATATTGTTTATAAATTTGTATCGNTTTATAAATTTGAACTTTTTCTCTTGTTTATAATTTTGCACCATTTTTTTCGGGTATTTAAATTTAGATTATTTAGTAAATATTATTCATTTGTGTTGTTCACTAAATATTGAATTTATATGATTCGTGTTTGTATATGAATTTAATCTTGTATATTTTAAATGTTAATCATATTTTCTTTAATATATCTCTTGATATCTGAGTTGCCCAATAACTTGAATTTAATCTTGTATATTTTACATGTTAAGCATATTTTCTTTATTAAATTAGATTTTTTTTCAAGTTATGTTTTTTTTTTTTGATTATGGAAAAAATAAAATTGACTATTGAATTTGTATGATTCGAATTTATAGTAATATTTTTAATTTTATATCATTTTTCTCGGTTATTTATATTCTTAGTGTAGATTGTTGTTTTGTGTTATTCACTAAATATTAAATTTGTATAATTTGTGTTCATAGTATTGCTTGTAATTTTATATCGTTTCTCTTGCTTGTAATTTTGTATCATTTTTCTCAGGTATTTAGATTTGAATTATTTAGTAAATATTATTACTTTGTGTTGTTTACTAAATATTAAATTTGTATGATTCTTGTTTGTAGATGAATTTAATCTTATATATTTAAATGTTAAGCATATTTTCTTTAATATATCTATTGATATCTGTGTTGCCCAATAATTTGAATTTAATCTTGTATATTTTACATTTTAAACATATTTTCTTTGTTAAATTAGATTTTTTGCAAGTAATGTTTTTTTTATTGATTATGGAAAAAATAAAATTGACTATTGAATTTGTATGATTCGAATTTATACTAATATTTTTAATTTTATATCATTTTTCTCGGTTATTTATATTCTTAGTGTAGATTGTTGTTTTGTGTTATTCACTAAATATTAAATTTGTATAATTTGTGTTCATAGTATTGCTTGTAATTTTATATCGTTTCTCTTGCTTGTAATTTTGTATCATTTTTCTCAGGTATTTAGATTTGAATTATTTAGTAAATATTATTACTTTGTGTTGTTTACTAAATATTAAATTTGTATGATTCTTGTTTGTAGATGAATTTAATCTTATATATTTAAATGTTAAGCATATTTTCTTTAATATATCTATTGATATCTGTGTTGCCCAATAATTTGAATTTAATCTTGTATATTTTACATTTTAAACATATTTTCTTTGTTAAATTAGATTTTTTGCAAGTAATGTTTTTTTTATTGATTATGGAAAAAACAAAATTGATTATTAAAATTGTATGATTCGTTTTTGTAATATCACTTGAATGAAAGAAAGAGATACAGAGGAATATTTTTGTGATATATACTATTTATCTAATATTTATTACATAACTTTCCTTCACAAAGAGATACAGATGAATATTTTCGTAACATATTATCTCTCTCTATGATATATACTATCTATTTACAGAGAGATGTCGTATTTGCTTGAATTATATACTATTTAATATTTTCGTGAGATACAGAGGAAAATAATGTGAAAAATTGACACTTTTTACGTGAATTGAGCGAGAGAGAGAGAGAGAGATACAGAGGAATGAGAGAGAGAGAGAGAGAGAGAGAGATTTGATTGATTTAAGGAAAAGATTTGGGGGAGTTAAATATTGGAATATCAATTTTAGAAATTATAAATTTTGAGCAGTAAAAACATTTCAAAAGAGTTAATGTGGTATGTCGAATCAAAACGATTTGCGACGTCAATAACTCAAGACAGTTTGGGATAACGTCATTCGTTAGATGATAGTTTTTTTTTTGTCACGAAACGATCTAACCACTCTTTATCTCCAAAATTCAGATTCGTTCTACTTTATTATATAGATTTTATAAAGAAATATAAGTTTGTTTATTTGCAAGGCAATCATAGGGTTATAAATGAATGGAGTTATTCCTGAATAGTTCAAAATTAATTTGGACTAAAAATTGCTTACTTTCGTTTATTATCAAAGGGACCATGATTGAATGCAACTCTAAAGCATGTTTAGTAAACAAATCATGCTCAAACAATTACTTGTTATTCTCGTACCACTCTGTGTGTGTGCACATTTATTCTGTTAGATCATGTTTTGTAATTGGTTAATTTCGTGAATTCTTTATAAATTTTAATCCATTCTATAGTCATGATGATACAGCGATAAAGATCCAAAAACGTCAAATGAAAGGGAGAATGTAATGTTTCAAGCTATATCAAATGAATTCTCCGTATGTACTTCTATGCTTAGGACAAAGATAAAAACCTTAGAGACCTAAGAATTCTTGTTTAATTTATTAAACGTATGATTATTAGTGTTAAAATAGAATCAATAATTGATCCGTGCATGGGTTTCGGGTGTTCATCAAAGAATTTTTTTTCTAAATCTATTTTATGTTTTGAAAATACAGTTTAAGGTATTAGTGGATCATTCTTGAGTAACATACTTTAGTGTTCAAGAAGAAAAGCTTTTTTTGCTTCTTTTAGACTTTAAAAACTAGTAGTGACCGCTCTATATTCGCTAACTTTCACTAGAGCGGTTTCTAAAGATTTAAGAAAATTTATGGTAAAGGCTAAATGGAGGAACAATAGGGACTGCCCTCTGGGCTGCTCAAGCCTTCTTGCTTTCCTAAATTTTGTTTGAATTTTTATTTCATCCCAATGACCACCGCTCTTCCACTACGTGAGCAGTCGTTCGCGAATTTATATTTTTTTTGAATTCCAAGACAAATCCTATTTTGAGCTTATAGAGGGATGTCTTCATAGCCAAGGGGATGACTCTTGAGAGTAAATTCAGCCAATCTTATGCTTTGAGATCTTAAGCCACGACTCTAAGTCCCTAAATTCAAAGGCTACCTTAGTGATTTCTATTAAATCTCATACCTTGGAGAAGAAGATTTTGCTTGGTTGAATCAAACCCATTGGCAAGTGTACATACCAAGTTTCTTGGATGCGTCCTAGGAGTGCTCGAGGCTTAAACGAACCGTATAGCGGAGAGTTCAAGTGAAACTATTCAAGATGTCAAAAAGGGAGCTTCAGTGGAGAGGTTTATTCAAAGAAATGAGCATTTAACCATGATATTGGTTGAGGTATAAATTTCAACTATTAAGTTTTGGTGAATTCCAAGTAATTTCCCACAATTATTCTTAAGGATGTGTTCTTTATTGGTTTTACATATACCTTTGTGATTTGATGCATACATGGGCATTATTTATTTATTTTATTAATGCTTGATTGAATATTTAAATCATACACATATTCATAGTTGCTTGGTTGAGTTTAGTTGCCTTAGCTGGGATCCACTTGTAAGATTGAGTATTAATTAACAAATTGATAAAATAAATGCACCAAACCTACATGGGCATTTTGGGTGGTGGTGGTTGAAAATGAGTTTTCAAAAGGAGCTTTCACACTTAACGTTCATGTCATTATGTGACGAGCTAAGTGTGGAATACATAAGTTGAAATTGGTGGTTATCGAGCTTAAATTTTAATTAACTTATTCACCCTCTTTTTATGTAGTGTCTGTGCATGGGCGGAGCCACCCTTGGGCTAGGGTGGGCACATGCCCCCCTCAATTTTTTTTTTTTGCTTGACATTAGGTATGTATTTTTTGAAATAAAATTTAGAAATATTTAATTGTACTCACCCTAATATTGTGTTCTGATTATATCGATTTGAATAAACCCCTACCTGAATGATTGTTAACTTTTTAAACAATATTATTGAAACCTAATTTAAGGATTTAGTACATTGCGATATTAATTATAAAAGTGATTTTTAATTTAATAAACTCTACTATCTATCCAATGGTCACAAACCATTAGGTCTCCATCAATTAAATCTCAAATTAAGTACAACTAATATTATTGTTAACTTTTAGATATGTTTCAGAATTGTCTGAATATGTTTTGAAATATTGATGTTATTTTATAATATTTTTAAAATTGTAGGGTTATTTCATTATAAAAATATATGTCGTTATGTAATAAACTATAGGATCATAAATCGAAAATTGTTATCGCAATTTTATATATAAAATAAATATTGTTGATAAAATTAATTTGTAACTCTTTCAAATAATAAAAATATATTAAGGTCAATTGTAAGTGATAATAATTAGTCGTATTCTCGATAAAAAATTTTAATTATTATTTTTTTGTTCATGTTATGTACATCGATTTTTAATTCTCTATGTTTAAAAAGTATTACATATAATTTCAATAAATATAAATTTATAAACTTTTACCGTCTATTAAAAAAAAATTAAAATATATTAGTATACCCATCCTAAAATTTTTTCATAACTGCGCCCTTGCTTACGTGTATAATCATAAGAGAAAATTCGCTGCATATCTCTCCCCTTCCACGACATATTCATACCCATATGTATGTATTTATTAGTCTAAACTTTTCGGGTTATGTTCAAAGACAAATTCGAACTCGATTTAGCTAATTAAATGTCATTTGGTGTCTGAAATTCATTTGCACCCCTAGAAATTCATATGAATTGATTCATATCCAATCTATATAATAAAATATAATACAATTCAAATCTTAAAAGATAAACGAAATGACTTTTGTTATTCGCGGTTAAAATTTTTTTAAATTTTATTTTAAAGTTAATCTAACAATTAATATTAAAATCCTAAATTTAATAGGAAAATAGGCCTCTAAGGGTGTATTTAAAATAATTTTTTAAGTATTTTTAGTAATTATTTTTTTATAAATATTGTTTTTTAAAAATAGTGTTTAGAACTGCTCCATCCCCACCGCTCCACCACCATCACTACTACCACTACCATCACCACTGCCACCACCACTTCGTCGTTGCCGCTATCGCCCCTACAACACCCACCGCTCCACCACCACCGCCACCACCACCACCGCCATCACCATTACCACCATCACTACCACTACTATCATTGTCCCACCACTACCACTACCACCATCATCCCCACCGCCCCATCACTACCCCTACGACCATCACAACTAGCACCACCATCGCCAACCCCTACCACCACGCCCACCATTGCCACTGCCTCACTTGCACTCCCACCCTCACCCTCACTGCCCCATCACCACTACCATTGTCATTCACCACTGATTGTTACCATTGTCGTCCACTGCTACCACCCACCACCATCATTATGTTATTCTTATATATATTTATTATCATTACCACCATCATACCACTACCACCGTCGCACACCATCAACTCCTACCACTACCATTGTTGCCCACCGTCAACAACTATCATAACCCACCACCACTCTGTCGTCGCCCATCATCGCCACCAACCACTGTCATCCATCCCCACCACACTTACCACCACCACCACCTGCAATCGCCCACCACTGCAACCACCCACTGTTACTTATCCCCACCACACTTACTACTGCCACCACTCGCTTCCACCTATTACACTATTGTCTAGAAGTACCCATCGTCACCCACCACCACCATCGTCACCGCCCACCGCCGTCCGTCGTCATCCCACCACCACTACTGCTAACTATCATCATCGTTGTCCACCACCATTGCTGTCACTCGTAACTGCCATTACTGTCATTGTCACCCAAAACCAACCACCACCATCACCGCTGTCACCCACGGTTGCCATCACCCAATACAACCATCACTGTCTCCCACCATTACCACTGCTGCCCACCACCACTAACACCGCTCACCCTCATTACAATCGATACTTAAATTTTTTTATCACTCCTTTATGTTTGTGATTTGATTTTTGGTGTGAATACAAATATATTTATTGTTAACTATTTTTTTATTACTTCGTGTCTTCAGGCACGTGAAATAACTAGTCTATGTATATATCCCAAGTATCATGAGAGAAATACAACTAAATTTTGTAAAAATAAGCATTTGAGTAAAGGAGAACGCAGCAGTTGAAATTATTAACTTAAAAGCTAAAATTTCCTCAAGACAAGTTATTTTACTAAGAAAAATCAAGTGGTTTATAGTAATCATGTTGTATTAATTTAAGATTGTATAGTTTTGATTAAAACCACAAAAATCATTAATTGCAAATTAAAATAACTTTAATCAGTTGACGGGAATTTATTAATTTTTTAATTAAGGCAGCCCCATACTCACACCAAATCCAACCTATAATTATTAAAAAAAATTCAAATTAAACTCATATAAAAGTCGAGCCAAAATTTCTTTGGTCAATAACCAATATGCAGGCTTTGAGCTCGCCGGCCCTTTCAAAGTACATATATACGTATAGATCTCTCTCTCTCTCTCTCTTGTTCTCAGCCCTCCGTTTACACGGGACAGCGACGTGCTCCCCACCTGCCCACGCGCACGCGACCCCACGAGAGAAAACCCTAATTTCCATTGGAAGGGAGGGAGGGAGAGAGAGAGACATTGGGAGAGAGTAAAAAAAGAAAAGCTTCACACCTCCCCCAGAACAGTACAAGAAACAGTTGAAAAAAGAGATCGATGTAAAATCTGTGAGAGATTGTTACCGTGTTCTTGTTGTTGCTGTTGTACTTGGTCAGAGAAAACATACACAAACGCTGTGGTAAAATTGGTTCATCGATCTCTCAGTGCTTTATTCTTTTCTTTTTTTTGTGTTTTGATTCTCTCAAGGGTTTTTGAATCTGTTCTTTGTTCTGTCCACTTAGCTCATCTCTGCTAGCTCTAGGGTTTCTTTATGTTCTTTTTAATTTTTCATCTTACATCAACCTTCTCATTCTTCTCTTTACTTGCTTCCATAAAGCACTGCATCTAATTCTCTTCTTATTCTTCTCCTCATCACCAATATATCTCTCTCTCTCTCTCTCTCTCTCTCTCTCTCTCTCAATTCAGTAGAAGTGTTGAAAATCCTGGTTTTGGGTTTGAGGTTTGAATTCTGATTAATCTCAGAAAATGATGTAAAAGAATCAAAGAAGATAGATCTAACTGCTATAAGAAGCGTAAGCAATCGTTGGGTTCTCATCATTTCCAGCTGCGTCAATTGAGTGTGCAACTATGGCTAATCCATGGTGGACCGGACAGGTGGGGCTTCCCGGGGTCGAACCGGGATCTACTTCACCTATGCTTCACAAACGCCCTCGAGAGCTATCGGCGAATGAAGACAGTGGCAGAGGAGACGACGATGAAGAGAGAGAAAACGGAGATGAGCCTAAAGAGGGTGCTGTGGAGGTTGGTTCACGGAGACCTAGAGGAAGGCCACCAGGATCGAAAAACAAGCCAAAGCCGCCGATTTTTGTCACCCGGGATAGCCCTAACGCCCTTCGCAGCCATGTCATGGAGGTGGCTGGTGGTGCTGATGTTGCAGAAAGTATAGCCCAATTCGCCAGAAAGCGTCAATGTGGAGTTTGTGTGCTCAGTGGCAGTGGTTCAGTGGCCAACGTGACTCTCCGGCAACCGGCTGCACCAGGTGCGGTGGTTGCCCTTCATGGAAGGTTCGAAATCCTGTCATTAACCGGGGCATTTTTGCCCGGCCCGCCCTCTCTAGGCTCGACCGGCCTCACGGTGTACTTATCGGTTGGACAGGGACAGGTGGTGGGAGGGAGTGTAGTAGGGTCTTTAGTAGCAGCAGGGCCAGTTATGGTCATTGCTGCTACTTTTTCCAATGCAACTTATGAGAAATTACCTCTCGAAGATGATGATGAGGCCGGTGGCATTGGGCAGAGTCAACTGCCCAACGCCACTGGAAATTCGCCCCCTTCGATAGGGACCAACGGGGGACAACAACATTCCGGACTTCCAGATCCGTCATCGCTGCCAATCTACAATTTACCCCCAAATTTACTACCTAATGGGAGCCAGTTGAGTCATGATGCTTATGCTTGGGCTCATGCTAGGCCAACATATTAAATAGAAGATGGAAAAGAACAGAAGGTGAGTTTATCAAGCTTTAATTTGATGCTGTGTTGAAAGATAGAAATTGGTAAGAAGAATATATGGGAGCAAGTGCAGCATAGTTCTCTATGTATATTTTACTTATTTTGTTTTGCTTCTTTTGTGTTTGCAATAAAACATATGTTTTTGTATATACAACTTGTCCTTTTCTTTTTCATATTCTATATTGCTTTATCAATGGGTTATAGTTTATTTTTTACGATGACAATAAACTTATGGAGACAATGGCTTCATCTCAGATGAGTTTTGCTAACCAACTACTTTACTAGTTGTTTCAAGGTTGTGACTGCACAGAAACTATAGAGCTAAGCTTGCCATTCAACAGAAGCAATAGAAATGGCTATGAGTTCAAACCCCTCATTTTGTGAGACGTCTCTTTGTTAACCTAGGCTTGTGGAGGTAATGTTAAATTCTCTGATGACTAGGGATTTTAAGTTTCTTGCACCTATTCTATGGGGTATGGAGTCATTATTTTATAAACTGTGGTGTGATGAGCTCTTCATCAATGATCTGTGTTATAATATCTTGCTTATTTCGGAAATAAAATTCATTTCCTAAACAATTCTTGGTGCCTGGTGGAATTTTTTTTTTTTTGTGAAAAGTAAAGTAAATTCTATTTCTTGTAGTAATATGATATGAAGAATGTAGTTAGGGAAATCCCTTATAATCATAGTAGGTATTACATTGTAAGCAAAAGATCAAATCACAAAAATACACAAAACAGGGATTGATATGGTAAAATTCTGAGGGAATTGTAATGGCCTTGAGCCAAAACTTCTAGCAGAATCCATCCTCCCTGTTGCAGCATTCTAATTGTTGCTGATACTCTAGTTCTAGTCTTACTGTCTTAGGGCTACTCAGAATGATTATGCTTCCGTTGCATTCTTTGGCACAGGCAAGAATAAAGAATGAATATATGTAGAGGATTGTTTTTCCTTAGTTTTGATATACATTTTTTTGTTCCTAATGGACTTGCAATCAAATCATGTGATCTCTTCACATATAATTTCAATCCTATTTTTATCCTTTCTTAGAAATTTTCCTTCATGGGGCATGTTGGGTTTCCAAATTTGGAAATATAGTTGTGGCAGCTTTTGTGGGTGCCCCTTCAAGTGCTCTTTGTTGGGCCTCCCATTGTCTAGTCTTGTAAAACCCTTTCTAAGTTTAAATGGTAGTTTTTAATGAAAACTTTGATTAATCTACAAAAAAAAAATGTATAATATAATTCAAAACATGTCCAAAGGGCACATCAAACAAAGCTGAAATAGTTTGCTCAACCCACACACCTGACCTATTTAAAACATAATCTCTTACAGCTCGAAAGTCTAGACATGTATCATATGTAACGGATTTCTAAAACAAAACATAACCTAGACCCAAAAATGTCCAAATGATAACGGGTCATCAGAAAAATAAGGCTAGGTTATCCGAGAGACAAACTAATAGTAAATACTTTTGAAACAAACAAGAAAAAGAAACATTTTGCAACTGTCTTGGAAATAATCATATCCTTCATATCTTCTTGGTTATGTGAAGGAGCTTTATGCAACTTGGGTGCTATATACATCAGAAAAAGGTTGACATTTTAAATTAATTTATATACGTAACCCTATTGTCTATTTTACCAAACAATGGTGCCCATTGTGGAACTATGAGAGACGGGAAAATCAAAGGAATATGTGTCTAGTCTTTTGCGATGTGAGAGGAATAGTTATCTAGTCATTCCGTTTATGAGAGTTTTCTCTTCTAAATCAGGTTTATATGTACATGAGTAACTCTTTTTAAGAGAACAATTTCTAGAAGCATTTGACATATTCTGATCGATGTTGTCTATATAATATTTTGATCAGTAATATTATTTTTGTCCAATAAAATAAATGAGGGACTTCATTAGGGTTTTCCCAGTCCCACTGATTTCAGCTCCATAAAAGCAGTTTCCATTAGCAACATGCTTCTTCAACTTAGCAAGTAAAAGTCCAAATGCAAAGTTAGAGACAAGGTGTTGGAAGGACAGTGTGCCCTTGTGCATATCCAAGCAAAAGATTTCTGAACTGAGTTGTCTAATACTCCATAAAAATTGCACCAAAATTGTCAAAAATATTTTTTTTTTGAGTTGGCATAATAAGATAAAATCGTATTTTGTGAGGAGTCTAGGAGAGTTTCGAAAACTAAAGTTATATTTTAGAGAATAAACTATGAATAGCATAAAATTTCCGTAAAACAACAGGATTTCGATTTTGAAGGCCAAAAACAATGCATGTCATGAAGGAGCCATGCGTATTGGTCAGTGGGTCATTTCTGATCTAAAGACAATCTTGCTCAATTTTGTCTTGATTGACCATTTCGCCTCTACTATTGCCTTGTACTGTTCCTTTGCGCCTTAGACGTGCGATAAGTTGTCTATCCACAAAATCAGCTACAACATCATACCTTTTGCTTGAGATTTCACAATACTGTGTCTCAAGGGTTGCAAAAAGAGAATTTAAAAACTAAACAACAAAAAAAAAAAAAAANTTGTAAGCAAAAGATCAAATCACAAAAATACACAAAACAGGGATTGATATGGTAAAATTCTGAGAAAATTGTAATGGCCTTGAGCCAAAACTTCTAGCAGAATCCATCCTCCCTGTTGCAGCATTCTAATTGTTGCTGATACTCTAGTTCTAGTCTTACTGTCTTAGGGCTACTCAGAATGATTATGCTTCCGTTGCATTCTTTGGCACAGGCAAGAATAAAGAATGAATATATGTAGAGGATTGTTTTTCCTTAGTTTTGATATACATTTTTTTGTTCCTAATGGACTTGCAATCAAATCATGTGATCTCTTCACATATAATTTCAATCCTATTTTTATCCTTTCTTAGAAATTTTCCTTCATGGGGCATGTTGGGTTTCCAAATTTGGAAATATAGTTGTGGCAGCTTTTGTGGGTGCCCCTTCAAGTGCTCTTTGTTGGGCCTCCCATTGTCTAGTCTTGTAAAACCCTTTCTAAGTTTAAATGGTAGTTTTTAATGAAAACTTTGATTAATCTACAAAAAAAAAATGTATAATATAATTCAAAACATGTCCAAAGGGCACATCAAACAAAGCTGAAATAGTTTGCTCAACCCACACACCTGACCTATTTAAAACATAATCTCTTACAGCTCGAAAGTCTAGACATGTATCATATGTAACGGATTTCTAAAACAAAACATAACCTAGACCCAAAAATGTCCAAATGATAACGGGTCATCAGAAAAATAAGGCTAGGTTATCCGAGAGACAAACTAATAGTAAATACTTTTGAAACAAACAAGAAAAAGAAACATTTTGCAACTGTCTTGGAAATAATCATATCCTTCATATCTTCTTGGTTATGTGAAGGAGCTTTATGCAACTTGGGTGCTATATACATCAGAAAAAGGTTGACATTTTAAATTAATTTATATACGTAACCCTATTGTCTATTTTACCAAACAATGGTGCCCATTGTGGAACTATGAGAGACGGGAAAATCAAAGGAATATGTGTCTAGTCTTTTGCGATGTGAGAGGAATAGTTATCTAGTCATTCCGTTTATGAGAGTTTTCTCTTCTAAATCAGGTTTATATGTACATGAGTAACTCTTTTTAAGAGAACAATTTCTAGAAGCATTTGACATATTCTGATCGATGTTGTCTATATAATATTTTGATCAGTAATATTATTTTTGTCCAATAAAATAAATGAGGGACTTCATTAGGGTTTTCCCAGTCCCACTGATTTCAGCTCCATAAAAGCAGTTTCCATTAGCAACATGCTTCTTCAACTTAGCAAGTAAAAGTCCAAATGCAAAGTTAGAGACAAGGTGTTGGAAGGACAGTGTGCCCTTGTGCATATCCAAGCAAAAGATTTCTGAACTGAGTTGTCTAATACTCCATAAAAATTGCACCAAAATTGTCAAAAATATTTTTTTTTTGAGTTGGCATAATAAGATAAAATCGTATTTTGTGAGGAGTCTAGGAGAGTTTCGAAAAGTAAAGTTATATTTTAGAGAATAAACTATGAATAGCATAAAATTTCCATAAAACAACAGGAGTTCGATTTTGAAGGCCAAAAACAATGCATATCATGAAGGAGCCATGCGTATTGGTCAGTGGGTCATTTCTGATCTAAAGACAATCTTGCTCAATTTTGTCTTGATTGACCATTTCGCCTCTACTATTTCCTTGTACTGTTCCTTTGCGCCTTAGACGTGCGATAAGTTGTCTATCCACAAAATCAGCTACAACATCATACCTTTTGCTTGAGATTTCACAATACTGTGTCTCAAGGGTTGCAAAAAGAGAATTTAAAAACTAAACAACAAAAAAAAAAAAAAAGACAGAAAGAGACCGCAATTTCTTTACATTGTTCAGGGTAAGATCTTATGAAACTACTTTAATTATTGAAAAATTATGTGTCAATAAATAGATGATTTCTTACTTGAAGATATTTAAATGATTTATGTATATATCGACAGTGANTAAGGTGGATTGTATTATTGTGTGTGAGAAATTTAATAAGCAATTAGTGGTGGGGGTAGCAACACACATACATCTCCCCCAAGTAAGAAAACAGGACTCTTTTTTCTTTCCACGTTGATGCTGAAATTCAATCACACTACACCTGTCGTGGAGTACACGTCATCATTTTCGAAGAATGAGATTAGTCCCTAACATTTTTGTATTGGATTCCTTGATCTGTCGGTTGAGAAAGGAAATTTTCACTCAAATGCATATCATCACTTAGATGAGTGGATCTTACTGAAAAAAGTTGATCGGATTCACTCATCAAAGGGATAATATACATTTAAGTTACAATTGTTTGAGTTTTATTTAGATTGTGTTGCATTATTTGTTGAGAAAGGAAATTTTCGGAATTTTGAAGGCACCAAGTTAGCATTGCTATGTGTTGGCTATGCCCTAAAACAATTATAACGACACTTGTTTGTC